GACTAGAAGAGGATAAAACTGGGCAAGCCCAGAGCAGCGCCTGCCTAGTGATGTCTCCCAGCCCTCTGTACCTCAGCATCCCAAGCCAATGGTGCCTTCTTGGTGCATAGAAATCCTTGATGGATTTATCTTCCAATAATTTGTCTTGTTTATTGAGTAACACAAGCTTTGAGGTCACAACCTCCTCTGGCAGTAAGTTTCACAGTTATAATACAGTGTGAAAAAGTACCTTCTTATTTTGCTCTGAACCTGACATAGTACTGCTATCAGAACAGAGTAGTATGAGAAAGAGCAAAGAATCATTCCCCATTCATGCTTTCCCATTGATCTTTTTTAGATCTTTTCCACATACTGCACCAGTTGTCTTTCTCCAAAGACCTCCTAGTCACTTGCTTATTCTTCAAACTACAGAAAACTATGACTAAACTGCCTCACTTTTCCCTTATTAGTCTACACTGCAAAATGACAATCTTTTTATTGCCTAACACCCCCCCCAGGTATAAATCTCATACAAACGTGACTCAATACTACTAGTATCAAGCAGTTCTTCCAGTGCACCCTAATTTGCTTGAGCAAATACTGAATCTATATGGTGAACATATATGGAAAGTAAATCACTAAAAAGGAAAGAGCAGCAAAGCTTCTAGAGTCCAGTGAAAGTCAAGGCAGGCAAAACCACGGTGGGGTACAGAGATGGTCACTTGATCCAGCATAGTCAACCACTACCTCATCACTGCTAAGAAAATGTGAAGATCAGATAGTCATTCTTACATTCCTTATATTCCTGATTTTGGAGGAAAAGCACAAAACAATTCCAAATAAAAACTTAATATAACAACAACAAAATCTGACTGACAAAAACATTGGCAGAGAGATAAGTGGAATTCATACTTTTGGCTTGGTTTTTCCAAATCTTCTAATATTTAAGACAGATACTGGATGCAAACACTATTTTTTCCCTAATTAGTTGGGCCTTAAAAAAGGTGCTTTTTAAAAAGTCCGTATTAGCTATATCATCCCTGAAGCTAGTCCATAAAAAGGTAGCAGCCAGCAATTCTCTCCTGCCAATTTAAAACAAACACACACTATAGCTGTGATATCACATATACACATGCCAGGACTTCTGATACAGTGTAACAAAGAGTGTCTCAGCGTCCGAGATGCATGAGGACAACCAGGGCCTTCAGAAAGTCTGTGGCCTACCCACCATTCCTTCAGTGAGGCACTGGTTTTCTTCTTCCCCCATTCTAACACCTCTGGTTTGCTCCAAAACACGGTCCAAATTTATATACATACACATATAATAATTTTCTTCTCTATGTACTTCCCATAAATGACTCTGTATGTACATTCAAAAGGATAACATGGCAAATGTTTAAAAATTTTCAGCAATCAAATATAATAAAACCTTAACACTGAGCTCTACAGCAACATATGCCCTTACCAGAACTGCTGGCTCAGGGCATCAAGATCTTAAAAACCTAAAATTCACTTGGATTCAGCTGATCTGAATATAGACCAGAAGGACAGAGCTGCTTGGTCTTGTTTAGATGAAATATTTTCAAACTTGATGCTTTGTGGGCCACAAATATCCAGGCAAGATCTACAGTAGTTCTTATCTTATCTAGGAGGCCAGTATCCTTCCTTACCACACCAGCTGATCAACAGCAGTTGCAGTGAAAATGTGGAGTGCCTAAGGATGACCTATTCTTTAAGGGGAAGAAAAATGTTAGCACATTTCTTTACATTAAAATACTTTTATATATTTCAGATGTGCTACAAAATTGTATTTCATTCAAGGAAGGAAGCTCCTATGCTTATTGTGAGTTTCGTACTAAGAAAAGGAAGGACAAGAACCAGCAAGAATTTATCCAGCAGCTTGCTAGGAGGGCTGAACAAAAGCTTTGAAGCAAATTAAGTGGCCCAAGTAGAAAATTGTGATTTTTTTTTCCAGTTTGATGGCCTGTTATTTTAGTAAGATGGAGATGAATGTATAGGGAGATTAATGTTAGGGGATAATGCAGCCAAGAGTCAAAAGCATACAAAAAATCATTTGATAAAAAATCCACATTGAGACTAAAACTACCAAAAATCGCCTATATCAGGAACCATTTACAACTACAAAGGAAGAAAAACAAAACACCTACACCATCACCCTCAAAATCTGCCATTTCTCTCACTTAAATCAGCAGTAAATCTACTAGGTACAACTGGAGACAGAAGAATCAGTTCATGGCTAGAAAGAATAGTAGTTAACTTATTCCGAAAGAAGTAATGGGTTCCTCAAGAGAAAAAAATAAAAATAAAAAGGGAAGGTGCATACTAAAACAGCATTAACTATTTCGGTTGTCAAATGCTCGCATTAGGCCTACTGTATCACATGTTCAGATTGATCTGTTAGCAGATAAAGCTACTGCAGTCCACATGGAAGCCTTCTGCATTGCCCAGAAACCATAATGGAAGATAAGATGACCAGTTCCATAAACACCCATATCAAATACTGGGTAGAAGCTCAGTTAGCACTGAACACTCACAGTGTCTCAAACTACTAATATTAAAAATCATCTCTGAAATTTCTAATTGACTGAGCCTGAACTTACTGTTGCATCTGAAGCAGAGCGAGCCTATTCAATTTCACTTGGTAAAGCAAAATTTACAAGAAGCAAGCACTCATTAAAAGGCACTGCTTTAAATCACATAAATATTTGCAGCTTGAAATGCAGAGCAGTAAAACAGTATGACTGTAAAACTAGCAATTTTTAGAGGCTGAGAACAACTGTAAGTCAAACAAAGTATCAAACAGGCCAGAAAGAAAATATAAATCATATACTCGTAATTTCATTTGATTCTCAGAAGCCGTAAGGCATTGTCAAAACTGCCAGGATTAGACAGAATAAAAATAACAGAAGGAGAAAAAACAACTAGCGAAAAGCAATAAAGAGGAGGAAGGGACAAAAAAAGGCACACACCCAAAAAGTTAGGGATGGCAAGAATTAAATAGAATCAGCATGTGGAATCCAGATAATATTGAATGGATGAAACAACAGGTCAGGACAAAATATCCAAGATATTTGTTTTGAATTCATCCAGAAAGACAGTTTATAGAGTCATCTCACAAATGAAGACATTTTCTATACAAGCTAATTTAGAAGAATATCTCCAAGCTAGCAAATTCCAGTAATTTGCCTGCAGCAGTTGCAAGACATCTCAAAGTGTTTTGTAACTATTAAAGTTCACTTTTAGTATTTTTTGGATCACTCAAAATATTGTCAAAGACTGTTCCCACATGTCACCTTATTTAATAAATTATAATACAAAATTGAGTAAGTTACTGACAAAAGGCAGGATTGTTTCTCATTCTGAATACAAGTTAAATGTGAAAATACAGTCAAAAAATACTACATATAGAAAACAGAGAATATATGTCATAAGAATTGCCTTAAGAATCAACTTCAAACACGATTGAAAGTGTGCACTATTTAATAGTATAAATACATAAAAAAGGAATTCTGTGGGAAGCTCATGCTGCCATCTAGAGGAAACGGGTCTACAGCCTTTTTTTTAAAAAAAATAAAATAAAAAACACTGTTTTTGATAGGCAGTTTCAATTAGCAGCCACATTAAAAAGGTAATGTTAACATTCAGTACACAAATACAGGATCAAATCAAATACCTCTGCCCCAAAACACAAGTCACTTATTTATTCTCTAAAATTCTTTTGTTTTTCTTGTCCTCTCACTAGATCTGTAACAGAAAAAAAAAAACTTAAAACAAGAATATTTAGAAAAACGGTCATGAAAAAACCCTCTCCAAACTCTGTGTTTCACTTCATTTTCAGTGAGAATTTTAGAACAAACGCATACACTGAGAAACAAAAGATACTATAATAGCTTAATGGAAACAGATTTCAGGGACAAGAAGCAACAAACATGAAGACAGCTTTCATAGGCCTTGAAAATTCAAGACTTGAGCTCCCATAGCCTGTAATAGACTAAATTCTTGGTCCTCGAATATTTTGTTTTCTCGTTTAGCCTTCTTTTTATTTGTTCTCATTAAAAATAAACAGAAATAAATGCAAAAAACAGTATTGCTAGCTGAACAATACAACCTTATTAGTTTTAATATAATTGGACTCTTCCAATTTTTTTTAATCGCAAAGCTTTTCAGCATTAAAGGCCGAGAATTTACTTAAAGCTAATCCATAAGCAGTATGCGCCTACTTTGTCTGTTACTAAAATAATACTTTGCCATAACTTCTACACTAGTAAATGATTTATACAGTATTAAGCAATTTCAGCTCTGAAAGTAGAGTAAATTTGTGCATGCAGGACTGTGTTTAAACAGGCTTAATCTAACTGGAAAGGGAGCATTAGCACAGGCAATAAGGCTCTAAAGGTAAGTCCTACTGCTTTTTGTTCTCTACCAAAAAACAGGCGAAAGACTTTGCACCATGTTACTTGTATCACAGTATAAAGCTGTCAAAGAAACTTGAGGATTTTTCACAGTTCTCAAGTATTTTTAAAACCTTCAAAGCTGCATGCTTACCCTAGAGAAACTCTAAAGTGCAAGCTAAAGCAAAATTAAGCAGAATGTGTATCTAAATCAGAACAACAGTCCTGAACATGATGAAGGCAACTCCTTCAAATGCTTGACAAAAATTTGCTGCTAGCAAGTGTGCTGGAGATCAGCTAGCTGTTTTGGAAGATCACATACATGAATCATTGCATTGTTTATCTATCACATAAATAGGTCTAAGCATTAGAAAATTAAATTCAAAGTTACAAAGTCTTAAGTGCAACCTATTAAGCCTCACATGCCCCAACAAAGTTGTTTTGGGCAGCTAAGAGACCATCATTCAGCACTCCATCCCTTGGGAGGATTTCCTTACTGCACTGCCAGCACTGTCAGATATCTACCAAAGCTGCTGATATATTTTCCAGCTACAAATAATCCTGAGCATGTTTGCAATGCGGTCAGTCACATCTCCACACAGCACTTACATTCATCCAGGCCCAGCTGATAAGCCAGGTTCTGCAGACCTCGAACCTTCTCCATGAGGTTAGCAGTAGTGAGGCTCCCCAGCTCTAAAAATACAGGAAAAAGGTTTGTAACAGCCTATAGCCCTCTAGTGGCAACACATCTGCACTCACTGCTTCAGAGAGCACCTTCAAGTCAAACTTCCGACAGTGCCCAGGAATATGTCATCCCAACAGCTTACTCTTCTTGCACTAAGAGGTGGCTTTAGTTAAAAATGGCTTAAGTTACTCTTCTGTAAGCTCTTATTTAAGCTTTAATTGTAGTCAATACAGACCTGAAATTAATGTTTATACAGTCGCAAACAATATACCACACATAGTTGAAATATTCATACATACATACATAGTTGAAGCATGTTTGCCTTAACTCAGGAACAGTCCTGTTCTCTCAGCTGACTTTAGGAACAACTGCTCCTGCACCTGAACCTCCTTTCCTCACCCCCTCCTTTTATTTATTAGGAAAGGAGAAAAAGATAATAATAACACTTTGGCACTCTTACCTGCTACTCAAAAGGCCCAGTCCATACTCACCTTTTAACATATCAATATCATCATTTTCTAATTCAGCCATCCATTTGGGAGGAGAACTAGTAATAGGCTGTTTAGGAGAACAAACAAAAACCCCATATAACTCAGAAGAGTGAGTGCATTTATAGCAACAGAAAAAAAAAAAAAAAAAACAAACACCCTGGTCTGGGATTTCCAGAAAACACTGTCCCACTGGCAGCAAAAAGGCTCCAGATGCTCTGTTGACAGATTTTCCTACACTTAACACAGCTTTCTGACATTTTCCAGATTCACTGGAGATAAAACCAGGACAACAGCAGTCAGAAGTTAAGGCTTTAAAAAGGCCTTTTAGAAAGTACTTTCTAAAGTTAATCTGAAAGCTTTTATGTCCCTTTCATGCCTCTGGACACACTTCACTCACGGGGAGGCACAAGGGGAGAGACAAGGGCCTGCCCTCCGCGGCTCGGAGCCGTTGCAGAGAAACGGGCCCCCTGCA